ATTGTCTTCTCCGGGTAATACGTCGAAAATATCATCGCCGGAAAGGTATGAATCATCATCCGAGACCGCAGGCCAAGCTGCGCTCTCATCAACGTTTACTTCTGCGTTCGCCGCCGTATCAGGCTCGACAGGTTGTTGTTGATACTTATCAAAATCGTTCTTGTCCGGATAGAAATCCTCGACACTCTGCATCGCAGTCTTTACATCCTGGGCGAAGGGCTTCTGCGAAAGTAAATCATCGAATGTTACATCGCCGCCACCATTCTCCTGCTTCTCCTCATTAACGGTCTGCGCAGCCATTTGACGATACTCTTCTTCGTGGATCCAGCCACCTCGAGAAGTATCTCTTGGGTTAACGGACAAAGAGACTAATTCGTTGGGATCGAATGGACTACTGCCTGGTTCGAGCCCCAGACGCTTTTTCCGCCTGCGTGTCTCATCCTGCCACAAACCTGCCATGCTTGGAACAAGTCGTTCATCAGAAGTCATTTGCTTGAAGAGTTCAGTAAAATCTTGATGAATGGGTCTTTCGCTGATTTCCGAGCGGTTCAAAATGTCCTGAACGCAAATATCGACCTCTAGGGGACAATGGCTTTGCTTTGGAAAAAGAGAGTCGTCTAACAGGTCGTCGGGTTGTACGGATCGGTGGTGCCAGCGATGGGATAGGTCAGTAAGTTCAAAGTATTCTGGGACCGGACTGCGAAACTTGACTTTGCTACACTTCAGATAGGCGCATCCGTACAAACTGTAGTCACACATCCACTGCGGAACGAACTGCAAATGACTTTCGTATGGCTGTAGAGGACGCTTAAGGACAGCGCCCTGAAGTAGCAAGTCCGCCAGCCTGGTCATATAAATGGGATTCGTGAGATAGATTTTAAAGTAGAACTTATAGCCCACATGATACCCATAGAAGGGAACACCCTTCACCAGAGTGATGTGTGCGACGAAGGGTATCTTCTTGGCATTTTCATTGCGATTGTAGCTTACTGCCAGAGCATGATCGATCGAGAGACGGAGACTCCTAATGGCGGAGCTCACTATAGAGGACTTAGCTGCATGAACATACCATATTGTTACACCTTTTATCAGACCAACCTTTCTCTGTCTCCAGATCACCGTCATACTCGACATACAAATAAGGAAAAGCGCCATGCACATGGACGCACACCTTCTGGCCAGTCTCCGTAGCCCCAAAGATCCTAATTACGGGGACCTTCGATCTATCATTTTTCCCAGCCGCACCATCCCTGTAAGGCAGAGGAGGGTCGAGTTCTGACGGAGTTGCCTGGTAGTGATCCACGCAGTTAAGGCGCACTTGGAAGGGCTCCATAGCTTGATTTCAGGACAGCGGAAGCTGTCAGCGACCGAACGCGCGAGAACTTCCGAGTCGCGTCATATCAATAAATCAGGTACCGACAACATCACCCACTGCTTCGCCGTCCAACTCTCTTTTTTGACTGCGACGTGTAGGAAGTTGTGGTTGAGTTTACGCGACTGGGTGGCGCGGGTATTACGCCAGGTCACGTGAGTGATACGGAACCGTCGCCGACTCCCATCAGCGCGGAGATAGAATCAAGAATTTGACATTCACACACATCTGCTGGTTTTACTAGAGAAATTTGAGTCCTTTGGCGGCGCTATAGCCCGTACTCCCTTCCCCTATACTTTGCGCCTTCTGAACCCTGCCATCCGCCATCATGTCTAAAAAGCCCGCCGATGTGGCGTCGAAAGAGCGCAACGAGTATATTCCGTCTTTCATTTCGAAAAAGCCGTTCTATATCGACGACGACTCTCAAGCAAATGACTACCTAGAGCATCAACGTCTGCAAAAGTCGACAGCAGACCAGTCAAAATGGTACGATCGTGGCAAGCGTGCTGGTCCCGCGGCCACCAAATACCGGAAAGGTGCCTGTGAGAACTGCGGCGCCATGACCCACAAGACGAAAGAGTGTCTGAGTCGCCCTCGAAAGCATGGTGCCAAATGGACCGGTAAAGATATTCAGGCGGATGAAGTTATACAAGACGTCAACATGGGGTGGGATGCGAAGAGAGATCGGTGGAACGGCTACGATCCGAGCGAATATCGACAAGTGGTGGAGGAGTACGAGGAACTTGAGAAATTGAAACGAGTCACCAAACAGGATGGCGAAAATGAGGGCAAGGACGGCGAGGCCGATGACGATGAAGATGCGCCTCAGGAGGAAGCCCGCTACGCTGAGGAGTCCGACATGGGAAGACAACAGAGCACCGCCACTCGCAACCTCCGTATCCGAGAAGACACGGCAAAGTATCTGCTGAACCTGGACCTCGATTCGGCCAAGTACGACCCGAAGACACGACGGATGGTTGATATGGGCGCTCAGGATGATCAGGCAGCAGCACTTGTTGCCGAAGAGAACTTTGTCCGCGCTTCAGGTGATGCTGCTGAATTTGAGAAGGCGCAAAGATATGCCTGGGAATCACAAGAACGTGGTGCGCAGAAGGTCCACCTGCAGGCGAACCCGACAGCTGGAGAGGTCATGCGGAAGAAGGAGGAGGCAGAGTTCGTGGCGAAACGTGAAGCTCAACGGAAGGCTCTTCTGGATAAGTATGGTGGTCAAGAGCACCTCGACCCCACACCGTTGCGGGATACAATGGTTGTTGAGAACGAGAGGTTCGTCGAATATGACGAGACGGGTGCAATTAAGGGAGCACCAAAGAAGGCGGCCAAATCGAAGTATGCTGAAGACATCTTCACCAACAACCACACATGCGTCTGGGGAAGTTGGTGGCACAACTTTGAGTGGGGATACGCCTGCTGCTTTTCCACCGTCAAAAACAGTTACTGTACTGGTGAAGATGGGAAGCGCGCATTCCAGGAAGCAGACCAGCTGCTGATGCTGTCTGAGAACGGGGCCGATGGTGACGAGCCATCCGCTGAGCATGAAGATAACGACGCGCATGAAGCTGTTGATGATGCTCAACTTTCAGATCAGCCGAAGGAGTCATCTAACGGTAATGCTAAGAAGAGAACGCTCATGGAGGTGCAGTCTGGAATCACCGAGGAAGAAATCGAGTCATACAAGCGAAGCCGACTTGCAGCCGACGATCCTATGGCCGCATTCATTGGCAAAGACGAGCTTGTTTAAAAGCTCCTATAACATTACAAATTTCACCAGATCTGCTATATAGGCGCATAGTAGTTGTCATAGATACCCATCCAAATTGTGCATATCCTGATATCTTCTTCTATAGCTATAATCTGTAATTCCAGTCTTATTATCGGTATAGATTCTTCATCACTATCTGGACTAAGTACGGAGTAGTTAGGTAGATGCATAGATAGCCTTATTGCTCCCGGGCCGCGATACCCTAGTCCCCTAGTAGCCTAGTGCAATGGAGCAATAAAGTGGATCCTGCCGGAGCAAACAGAATTACTCTTTGCAGTTATGAAGTCATGTGACAGACTCACCCTTGAGGCTGTCGGCGAATCACGGGACCAGGGCACAAGCCCTGACAACCACAACTCGCTAAGCGACACCACCCCAGATCCCAGAGCAACTTCGATACGCCCAGCGACGACGACAACGACAACCAGCCCTTCAACGGAATCGCCAGGTAGGTCCATTTTGCGCCCTCACGTGGGATTATTGTCATTTTTCCCCAGGTCGGGAATTTTTTTTAATCTCGATTTTCCGTCGCTAACAAATTGTGCCATATAGTTCCACATAATTCAAGATGAGTACGTGCCAACGCGATATACCACCGCCCAGTCCGATCTATCGACGAGAACAACATCCAGACTGACATACCGATTCTGTTTACAGCGAAGGGTACCTCCAGCTTCGGAAAGCGCCACAACAAGACTCACACTCTTTGCCGGCGTTGTGGTCAGTATTTACACTACTCCGAAAATTTATATATGTCCTCCGGGCGGGAATTGTTATACGGGATATCTCTACACAACCAACGGAATGGATGAGAGAAGGAACGGAATAATAAATGACTGCCGGGAGGGACATATACATGAGGTTATGGGGAAAACGACCAGATGGGCTAATACTCTTCGGATTGAAAACAGGCCGCCGCTCCTTCCACGTCCAGAAGTCGACTTGTGCCAACTGCGGTTACCCTGCCGCTAAGACTCGCAAGTGTACGAATCCATTTCCCCAAAACCCCACCAACGAAGAACAACCGCTGGTTCCTTAGGAAACCTTGGATATGGATTGTATGAAAAAGTGTTTGGATGAACAAATTGGCTTACGATGTTCGTTTTATACAGTCAACTGGAGCGAGAAGGCCAAGCGCAGAAAGACCACCGGCTCCGGCAGAATGCGTCACCTCAAGGAGGTCCACCGCCGCTTCCACAACGGCTTCCAGGTCGGCACCCCCAAGGGCGCTCGTGGTCCCGAGAACCACTAGATTCCCCCCTTTCGATGACTGTCGCGTTTTCGTTTCGTTCTCGGAGGCTGGAGGCAGGGCTGGTATGACAGGGCCGGTTGGCATTTGACGACGTGAACCGGGTCGCGAATGCTAGGGGCAATAAAAAAGACGCTATTCCCCGTGGAGTTGGTGTTGGGACGGTCTTTTTTTTCATATTTGCCGTCATAGCATTTCTTTATTCTAGAGAAACACAAAAATGGCATATATTGACGACAATGTGAAAGAAGAAAAAAAGACGCTCGTCTTCTCTCTTGCTCTTTGGGGATGTTTTCTCCTTTTTCTGTTTCAAAGAAAGAAATGAAATGGGAAAGTTTATGCATGAATTTCCTTGTCTTGTTCAGGGCTGGCAGATATCCCATGTCGTGACAGATGCAGTTTGAGATTATTCGTCCAATGTGATCTGTCTACTTGAATGCAACCTACCCTTCGAGTGCGTACGATGTGGTTTCTGCGACAATAGGTGTGCTTTTTCGATCCAATTGCGACAAGATTTATATTCACCCCCGGTCTATTGTTTTCCGGATGCACGCCTGAACGCCTGGACATGACATGGAATGATGCAACAACTTTAGTATCTATTCTCCTCGCCCAAAGACGCTAACACCACCATCCCTTTGAACGAAATATAGGACTTCCTTCTCTTCCCAATGACCATTAGCCTCGGTGCTGTCATTTTGCCCCCATGCGCCACCTTTGCTGACCCTGAGCACACCGCTGACATCCCTTGCGGCACCCGTTTCAAGGTTTCGGAGCTGCATAACCATGTGCGCCCGATGAGCCGATCCGATAGCAAAAGCGGCATGCTCAGTCTCCAGCGGAGTTGCTCCCTGGTGCGCAGATGCGGAAGCATTGTGGATCAATGGAGAGTCAGAGGACGCCGTCATGATCGTTGCGTGAGCGTACTAGGCAAATAAGCTCGCGGTCAGCGGATATGGTTCCCGATATAAATACCGTACTGCCTGTGGAGACTTGTAGCATACCTGTTGTAGACCCATCACCCAATCTCCCATCTCTGTAGCGCCTATGCCCCTGCTCGGACCCGTAGCGGCTAGCAGCAGATCTGGCTGATCGATAATCAATAACACCTCGGGCTCTTCCTGTTCATCACCGGATGTTGATGTTTTCAAATCATTGATCACCGCCGCAATGTCTTTCTCGAGCACATCCAAAGCTGCATTCCCATTTCCTGATAGGTGAAGCCGCTTAACTGGCCCGACTTCTCTCGATGTTGGCGGGTTCGGAGGTGCAGCGACTGGCTGAGCAGCGGGTTGCGGTCCTCGCGCGGGAACGGGTCCGGGTTGCGACCTGAGGGGCAGAACTGTCCGGGGAGGCACTGTTCCTCGCGACGAGGGTTGGATTGTTGATGTCTGAGTCGAAGTAATGGAGGGGGCGGCGAAAAGTTCGGAGAGTCCGTCAACAAAGGCGAATTGGCGTTTGTCTGTGAGGCGGGCAAGATCGAGGCCCTGGTCGGGTCAGCGTTGTCGCCAATCATTTGGATACGTAGAAAGCATTTAAAGTGAATGGAGAGAAAATCGGAAGTATTCAAGCCTCGCACGGCCCGGATAATCCATAACATATGACCAAGTAGAGCGATGTGACAAGGGTTCACAAGCATACCAATCTTTTGGCCTCGGACCTCCAAAATTCCCAACCCCGCAGAAAACTCACGAGCACGACCTTCCTCTTTCTCCCATTGTTGGTGTCGCTGAGACCCGCAACAGCGTCTGATGCGGAAGACGAATTCAAGGCAGCATATAGGAATCGTAGGACTAGCCAATTCCCTGTTGCGCCTAGGACTGAAGATAGGACTGTGAGGGAGGATGGCGGCAGAGACGATACGTAGGGAATGAGGAGGGGTGGGAGGGGCGGTTGGCTAGGCATCGCACTGAGAGCGTCGCAACTGCTCCGTCTTCAAAATCGTACGGTCGGATAGCACTAGTGATGTCTCCGAGCTGATGGAGATGACTTCGAATTCGAGATTGGAATTGTAGAAACGAAAGCTGTATTTTTTGTCTGCACTTTTTGTAAATGACGTTGTATGAAATTGGATTTCCTGCGGATTTTTGCGATTGGTCGGCGACCGTGCCAAGACAAGTCACTGGATCGATCAATGCGGAAGGTGCGATGGGGGCCTGCCTGTTTACTACTTACTATATGGAGATAGTCGTGGTCTTCCCCCTGCTCACCTTGAGGATGACTTCTTTCTCATCTACTAGCTACCATTTCTTTCATAGTACTGGATGTTCTCTTCGCCTAGTCTGAGCTAATTCAACTTGTTGGCTCGTGTATCAATAATGAAGCGCTGATCACGTCCCCGAGCTCAGTGCTGTACCCGAACTAAATATATTCTAAGTGGTAGCTCTTAGGCTAACATGCTAACGACGCGCCCTCTGCATGCTGCTAATGGCTCCCTGAGTACTAGGAGATGATAGTACTACTGGCACCAAAAGCAGCTGGCAAACCCTTATGTGGAAGTATCCAAAAGGCTGCGCGATAAATTCATGGAACACGATTTCATTGCGGCATAATCATCCGCATCAGGAGATATCTCGGACGCTCTCGCGATTCCAGGCCGTTCACTACATTAGCTTCACGTCACCCGTGCCGATCACTGAGGCATTTTATGCGAACTGCTGAATACTCTACGCTCTTCTCAGGCTAAGACATGCCGTATGATTGTGATTATCGTCTCAGAGCCGTGAGGGGAATGGTCCTTCCTGCCTGAAGCGACGCCGTTGATTCCTGAAATTCCAGGAGGAAATTTTCGGCCCGTCACCTGACTGGCTCCCCCACACGAGCCAAAAGTCCATCAGCAATCATCGTCGCACTCGCTGGTCGAGCATCCATCCAGGTCTCGTCCTCTTCTCGCCAACTTATAAGTTTAGAGCGTTGGAGCCGTACCCGATAACTTATCGTCCGGCTCCAAAAGCGTTGGGCCCTTAACTGCTTCCGCGCCGATCGTAAGTTGGCCGCCCCATCCATGTCCCTCGCTCCAAGCGTGTTACACTCAGGCACCTCGCTTTTTATCCATACCCCACCGGTCCTGGAGACGTTTAAAGTGCCTGTTTCCCAGAACATCCTGTACATGTATCCATCCATCGTTTAAGCGGGAATTTGTGACACTCGGCCATTCCTGTTGTTATATTCAGCCTGTAAAAAATGTGTCTACAAAAGTACTTATGTTCTTCATACTTCGCTCGACTTCATCTCGCGGCGCAGATCAACATCGATCACGATTAGCGCTGTAGTTGATGGCTAACAAAGTCTCCCCAGATGACATCAGTTTGGTGTACATATCAGCGCGCAAGAGACTTGGGGTACATCAAAATTGACTTTCGACGTTAAATATGGCCAGTACACGTGATTCTCACTCCTATGCTGTGAGTATCCTATGTAAAGGAAAAGAGGCAACCTATCAAGCTAATAGCGGATATACAGTGTGATGAATGTCGGCTCCGGAAGTCCAAGGTAAGCCGCTCCGACGCAGTCACTCGGCATCTAGCTAATCTTCATCGCAGTGCTCGAAAGAGAAGCCGACATGCGCACAATGCAAGCAGTTGAACAAAGAATGCAATTACAGTCCTAAGGTCACCAGAAGCCCTCTAACACGACAGTAAGTCCTTCCATTGCCTTGGGGTTTCAATATTGTCGTCAAACTCCCATGACCCATGGAACCAATCAATTGCTAATCCTTGCTCAGACACCTGACCTACGTAGAGGAGCGCTTACAGGCCTTCGAAACAGCGCTATCAAGGCTGTTCCCAGGCGGCGATCTGGATGCCACCGTCCGCTCTCTTTTGCACGATCAGGAGGGTCCACCAAAACCTGGCTCCTCGAAGTCCTCGTCGCGGCATTCCACCCCTGCAAAAGCTGAGCCGGATCGGGCCGAACCAGCCCCGGAAGCGCTGCCGCAGCAGGCTGATGGATTCGACTGGGCGGAGAACAAAATTACAGTTGGCGACCTGACAGATGGCATGGCAGCCCTGTCCATTAAGCCAGAAGGAGCTGGCTACTTCGGTCAGTGTGTCCGACTGCTTTGCAACTCGGGATTGCAAGTGCTAACTGTCTGTATTAGGCGCATCTTCCAGCGTTGTGCCGCTTCGAGCGTTGTTGAAGCATGGTTTTGACCTTAACATCCCTGCCAGATCCTCAAAATCAAGTTATGGCATGGAAAGAGTGCCTTTGAAGGCTCAACTACTCAGCACTGCGCCCTCTGGTCTCGTCGAACAAGCTTTCATGGATGCATTCTTTCTCAACTACCATACCAGCTACCCTTTCGTCCACGAGGGTACTTTCCGAGCGCAGTTCTACGAGCAAGTTCCGCGGCCACATGGTCAGGCATGGCAGATCCTACTGAACACGATCTTGGCTTTGGGGGCGTGGAGTATCGGTGACGACAATTCTGACCTGGATATTACATTTTATCAAGAGGCGAGAGGTCATTTACAGCAGGTGTCTGTGTTTGAAACCGGAAACCTCACTCTTGTTCAGGCATTACTGCTTCTGAGCAACTATGCCCAGAAACGGAACAAGCCTAATACCGGATGGAACTTTCTCGGTTTGGCGGTTAGGATGGCCATGAGCTTGGGCCTCCATAAAGAATTTCCTGGTTGGAAGATCAGCCTTCTCCAGCGCGAGGTCAGGCGGCGCCTGTGGTGGGGAGTATACATTTTCGATAGCGGTGCGGCCAAGACTTTCGGCCGGCCTATTCTCTTGCCTGAAGACGATGTCATGGACGCAAAACATGTACTCAATATCCACGATGAGGTAAGACTCGGCATTGTGACTATAATCCTATAATCCGGCGTACAATGTCTGATTCATCCTGCAGGCTCTTACGCCCCTCACTACCGCTCTACCCCAGGAGGTCAACGAACCAACCCTCTATTCCGGTTTAATAGCCCAGGCTAGGTTCCATCTCCTTACCAACAGTGTGTATCAGCGTCTCATCTCAGGCCCGAGTTTAACGCCAGAGGAAACGCTCGGTCTCCAAAGACCAATGGAAGAATGGTACAATGGTCTTCCTGATTACTTCAAGCAGCCACCCACACCGATATCGGATGCATTCGCTCTTGTCCGCAATCGGTTGATGTGGCGCGACTGGAACTTGAGGATTCTCCTATACCGTCCCATTCTTCTTCGTTGGGCATCGCGTCGATGGACACCAAACTCGTCCCCCGAACCTGAGGATCCGCTTGAGGCAGATTGCAGGAGGCTTTGTCTTCGGAATGCGCGTTTGACAATATCATCGATCGCAGATTTTGTAAACAACCACGTCTGCACAAGGATTGGTGCATGGTACATGCTGTATGTCTCCCATGACCCTTTTCCTTGAAAGCGCTGACATTTCCCACAGATACTTCCTGTTTCAAGCTGGTGTCATCCCGATTATCTTGCTTATGACCGACCCGACAAGTACGGAAGCCCCTAGCTGGCTCCAGGAGATCGAGTCCACGAAGAAGCTACTGGTACACCCTTCTCTCAGCAACAACCGCCTTGCGACTCGTTGTCTGGAAGTTGTAAATCGACTCTGTTCGCCTGCATACACGAGTGCCGCCACCGATAAGACTGCAGGACAGACAGCACCCATATTGATGCCCTTTTCCGATCAGCTCTTCAACGACCCAACCTTTGGTAGTATGTTTCCCGACGTGGACCAGGAGTTGAATCTTGCTGGCATGGACTTCTCGGAATGGGTAAACTTCCCTCCACAGAATGAGTTTGTCTGAGCATCTGTCAAAGCCGAGAGAAGATGATTTCGGGGCTAGAGCCGGTCAAGGGTCATACGTGAATGTAGCGGAGCCTACAGAACAAAAGAGGATGTCACAGCCGGAACTCCATTCCTCGAAGGACCCGCTTCTTGAACTGTCACACCAAGCGGAACCCGCTATTTGATATGAAGGCGCAAAATTGCAAGAGAATATGAAAGTTATGGACCCTCACGCAACGTCCTCTTCCTCCTGTGCGAAGGGCTTCACGAATTCCGGGTCGACCGTGTGACTCTCGATGCCGCGCAGTTGAGCCTCGATTCCGACAATACGCTGTTTCTCTTCATGGGCAGCCGTGTCACCAAAGATGAGATCCATATCTTCCAGCGTCTAAACAAGTCGTCGTGTTAGCGATGTCGAGTGGATAACCAAAGGCAAGCCAAACATACCTTTCCACGGGTCTCTGGGATAAAGAAGAAAGTGAATCCGAATGCCAGAAGGCAGAACGCTGCGAAAAAGATATAGGTACCCCAGGTGATTGAGTCGAGCATATCAGGGGTGACGAGGCCGATGATACTAGGTGCAAATGTCAACAATGAGTCATGACAATCATGGATATGAAAATGAAATGGCAAAAACAAAGGACTTTCTGGACATACAAGTTGCACATCCAAGTAGCGGAAGTTGTGATGGAAATAGCTTTGGAGCGTATGGATAGATTGAAAATTTCCGATGGCAGGACCCATCCGATAGGAGCTATATGCACATTAGCACGATCCACTTTCCATATGACGTAGTAGACAAACAAACCAAAAGAGTACGAGAAGTTAATATCGTAGATATAGATAAATGCGATCCCCGCCCATCCGGCAGATCGATGATGGATGAGATCCGACCCATAGGCCCCAATGATTGCACCCACGATTACCAGCGAGATGCAAGTCCCCGTGGCACCAGACATGAGCAACACTCTCCGGCCGACCTTGTCGATTAGGAAAAGCGCGGGCAGGGTGCTAAGGCAGTTGATGATCCCATAAACGCCGGTAGCGAGAAGGGAGCTCTGTTTGATCGTGTTAGTTCGTCAGCTGCTTTTGAAATAAAGAGAAGATTTATAAGCATACAGTATTTCCATCGAGGCCCAGCTGAGCGAAGATTGTTGGGGCGTAGTAGATT